TCGGATTCGTTGACCAGATACTATCAGCAACAACCTACTATGGGAGAGAACAAACCACATCCCAGTGCATGAAGAAATAAGGAAGAATTGCTGGAAGTGGATAGGACACACATTGAGGATATCACACAACTGCCTCATGAGGCAAGCCTTCAAATGGAATCCTCAAGGTCGACAGAGGAGGAGGAGAGGAAGACTAAAGAAGAGATTACTCTGAGAAATGGAGAGAGACATGAGAAGAATGAACAAGAATTGGATAGAATTAGAAAGTAAGGCCCATAACAGAGTGAGTTGGAGAATGCTGATCGGTGGCCTATGCTCCATTGTGAGTAACAGGGGTAAGTATGTAAGTAGGAAACTTCCACAAAATCTTTCGTTATTTTTAAAAAATATTGATCATACAGTTGCTGTTTTGTCAGTTAATCACTAAAGAAAATAAGTGACATAAGATTCAATATAAAAAAATATTTCACAATTTTTCTGTATTGATTGAAATGGTGAACTACTCAAATTTAATGTTTTTATTCATCAAATTCATTTACTACTATTACTTTTCATTGGAAGGATGCAAATTCTTTATTACTGTATGGAATTTATTCAAATGATTGATAATTAACTGCCAGTTTATATACAATACTGATTACCTAGATATTAGGGATCTTCTAATAGATCATCTGATATGATGGAAAAAAAGTCAATTTTCGATTGAATTACTCATTATGAGTTTGATTCAACATTGACATCTGTTTTGATTCAACGTCAGGATCATTCAGTGTAGTATTTGATTGTTTTCCCAATATGATATTTTCTTCTGTATAATATACGATATTCTTAGACTCACTTGAAAGGAAATATGCTCAGTAAGTGATTTGTTATAACTGAGTATATGATTTAATCCTAATTATTATTCAAAATGGGTGTACAATCAATAATATAAACCAGTGTATTTTAGACTATTACGATTTGTCGTTGTCATAGTGTTTTGGGGCTAATAAATCTTCACTTATACCAGTCTTGTGTTCTTACTTTCGCATCGTGGGAATTGCCGAGGTCCCTCGTTCCGAGTATAAGTGATCAGCGTTTTTCAGACACAGCAGTCGGCGACGACTAAATATAACATCATCCTTTTAGATTGAACTTCTATATTTTGTTCTCAGAATTAGATGGCTTAACTGTGACTAATTTTTCACATAGAATATATGAAATTAGGCTAACAGTGAAGTTCAGGACGCGCGTTTCGTCTTATTTGATATTCATTAGCCAGATGTACCTTTATCACAGAGATGATGTTAACTCCAAGACTCTAACCCAGTATTGTTCGTTTCCAATGCCATTGAGTTTTCCACTTGACTACCAAATCCATTATGTTTACTAAATAACATTGTCGGTGCCAACATCCCAAATGGAGAAGAGCTTTTGTAGAAAGTGAAGATTTGATCATATGAATGTGAAATAGTGTATTAATTTATTGACAGTTTTTAAGTGTTTCGTAGAATTTAAACAAACAAGAGTGATCAATAAACAAGGATGGTTAGTGGCTAGCAGTGGAATCCAAGACGCGCGTTTCGTCCTACGTGGAACTTGTCATCTGGATGTACCTGAATCTCACAGTTGATGTTCACCCTTGGACTCAAACATAGTAGTGTTCGCTTCAAACACCATCATTTTACCCACTTAGCTACTGAGTCCTGATAGCCACCTGCTTGTGCAATGGGAATTTTAAATTCACTTGGTATTGTTTACTCGAATCTTCTTATTGCCGGCAATAATAAGTGGCTGAGTTACTGGATGATTTTTATATACACTGCAGACTTTTAGAAAAATGTCAGTAAAATGATTAAAAAAAACAAGAATACTGATTTGAGCAGACCATGTTGATATTCTGTTTGCTAGGTTTTCTTTCATCCATAAACTGTTAAAAGCCGGATGAGTTGGTTTTTTTCATTTTACTATACTTGGTTTCACACAACAACTAACTTCGAATTATCACATTTTTGACGCGAAACGGTATCATTCGGTTACTGAGTTAGCACTCGTTCCGTGACATCATATATCTAACCATGTTGAGATTCAATACGTTTAGTTCAAACGTATCAATCGTGCTTTGTATTACTACATGTACCATTAGTGTTTGATTTCTATTGATGTAACTGTGCTCAAAATATTTTATTTTTTCGTCGTCTTCTACTTCGCATTTATTGGTTGCGTCATTGACTATTGATGTGTATTTTCGGGCAACCCTTCACTTCATGAGATTATTTATTCTCCTCCTGTCAAATCCTGTGAAGTATAGATACTCTGTCATTCTATTTTAGCGCAAGCGGACAAGAGCAGCTTGACTTATTGAGTGTATTTCAGGTGTATCCGATTACCACCAAGAACTATTACAAATAACATTCATTTCTATACAGTGTTTTTGTTTTTTCGTTTACTATTATGTTGTTTGTATGAGAACCTCCCAGTTTTGTATGAAATGTGATTATTAGTACTACATTGTAAACTGTCTAACTAATCCTCCGATTTGGGCCACTACAATGTCCAAACTATAATCCATCAACGACATAGTTTACATCAGAGATCATCACTTATTAGTAAAACTTTGCGATATTCATTATGAAGTCAGTTGTTTTTTCCACATGAATGATATTTAATTTCGCACCTTTCGGTGATCAGCAAAATCTAAATACACTAGGTTCGCTTCCTTATGGAGTCTAGATCCGAATAGCTCGGACGCATTAATTTCTGAACAAAAAAGTTGCCGAACACTTTGTAGTTTTTAAATGTTAACCTAGTACACTGTTTAATAATGATGATTATTATTGTATCAAACCCCCTAAAGTAGTGTTGAACGACTTTTTACATACTATATTCATTGATTATATTCAATTTCCAAAAAACACATTCAAATATCTATGATAACCGATTATACTAACAAAATAAACAAAGGCTGAGATAAATTATGGTATAATTTATGTATATAGATGTAAATATAAGTTAACAACTAGCGAATTCATAAATATGAAACTTAGAGTTAGATATTTTAACAAACAGTTTATTCTAGGTTATGTTCAACTATTAAATGCCCCTTAATGAATTTAAGTAGCTAGTTCATCAATTTTTGAAGCGATTGATAACAATGTTTAGAAAGCTAAGAATCACCTGTTGCACTAATTGGTGATTTATCCACACATCGTATACGGAGTTTTAAGGAAAATAATGTTTTATTTCTTTACAGAATTAAACACAAGTTAAAGAAAGATCACCACTATCTCAAGTTATTCAGATTTTCAGCTAAAGGGGAATTTGGTCGATAAGATTCGATTTGTATTAAAGACTAGACAACATAACATTAACTACAACTCTATTAGTGATTAGTATAATCGTTAAGGATATTATAGATCCATTAATGCTTAATAGACTTAAGGACTAGAGAAGACGATAGAAGCTTGTCTGTGTTTATTGAGTCCAAGAATTTGAAGCCAAAAAATGTTTCAATAGTATCATTAAGTTGTATAAACATCAATCTCAAGAAGTTAACCTATACGTCAGGCAAAAGCCACATATCATCGGTAGATCACATGGTAAGTCGAAGAAAAGTTTTAGTGAGTAAACAAATTATTCACCTAATCAAGTTTACTGCTTAGATAGATAGATTGAGATGGTATAGAAGATTTGTAGCTCAGGTGGATGATTTTGACGGAGTTTTGTTCTCTGAGCTGGATCGTTTGCTCAGCTCAGAAAACAAAACTCCATCAAGATAGATAGATTGGTTGATTGAAATGTCAACTAGAATGGTTATACAAAACAGAACAATGCAGCAAATGGTTATCAGTTGTTTTATTATTTTCATTCAAATGATTAACTCGAAATAGAAAGAAAAAAACAATTAAAAAAAGGGGGAAAAAATGATCAATTAGTGTCTTTCAAACTTACAATGAGGAAATATATGACAACTGAATGTGTATACATCAAAATCTGTGTAAAAGTTCATAAGTGTTTGTTTAGAATAGAGAAGAAAAAAAAATAATAAACGATATTGTTTCTGTGATGCTTTGCATAGTTGTCGCCTAATATAGAGTAATATTGAAAAAGAAAGTTCATAAGTTAATTGACTAATATTCTGATATAGGCATCTCTATTTCTTTTTAAAAAGATCTCAGCTTTTGGAATGAGTTGAGTTTTCTTTTCTGTTTTGAAAAGTAAACAAAAACTGATAAACAATGAAAGTAATATTGGAAGATCTGATCTGTAGATTATTGTTTGTCTTTGTGTTTTTTTTTTAAAAAAAGGAATTGGCGATAGATATATCATAGGCATCATATAGGTATATAAAAACTGACAATTGTTGCATATAGTATCTATGCCAGCCATTTAAACTAGTTTTAAAATTGTGCTAACACTTTGATTTTAATCAGACAAGCTCATAAAAATAATAAGGAATGAAAAGAGATCAATATATTTTAATAATTTATAGGAAAAACAGTACATAAAAAGGCGTTAATTCTATCTGGTTCTATATCTACCTCGAAACATACATACGCATACACAAAAACAATTTGAATCAGACCATCTGAAGTGAATAGATACCATGTAATGGGGATAATAGTAGTAATAAAAATTAAATGCCTTTATACAGACAATAATAATAATAATAGTAATGGGAAAAAAGAGGTTGGTGGTGGAGGTATCCAAGGTAGAGTTAGACAGACAAAGAACAAACAATATCATGTCAACAAATAGACAATACGAAAGTTGAGAATAATTAATAGAGTCTAGACAGACAGATAAGAGAATAAGCCTTAATACAGAAATCATCAATTAACAACAGTTGAAAGATTTAATATTCGTAATCCTCCTCCTCATCATCATCATCATAATAATAAGGATCAAGCTGACTTGAATATTTAATTCGACTGTCCAATACTCGTTTATCTGTATTTTTTGTTTTTAGAAAAAAAAATAATCAATTCCTTGATGTGTATGTTTGATGATGCTTTTTACTATTATACTTTTTCCAAATATTGAGTTAATCCATCTAAAAGAAGACGATTTTTTAAACGACATAATTCTTCGGCTAAACGATCAACATCGTTAACTTTTGCATTTAATTCCGTTTCTAATGTTATTGTATGCGATTTGATAGTACTAATGAGATGATTAGCATCGTTCAATAATGAACGTAACGCTATCATGACACATGATATGTATATTGATGAAAAGAAAAAACAAAAAATCATAAAGTAATTAATAAGTTTATAATGATGAAACGTGATATAACAAAATATGATAATGTTAATACAAAACTCCTTCTAAACATTTTATTTAAATCACTTACAAGAAAAAATCAGTAGTAGTATTAGGGAGCTGCAGTATGCAGAGATAGACGAGGATGAAACTATTAGATTAGCTATCAAACGTATGATAGAAGGATTTCATATGAATGAAAGATATGACAGAAAATGGCATATATCCGTGGTCATCTCTACTTATAGTTACTTAAATCAATAAAAATTAACAAAGTTGACATCAAATGATCAATACCTGTTGAACAGTTTACCTTCATATAGTTATTTACCGCCACAAACAAACTATGGCCTCTAAACGATGTAACGCATACAAAATACTTAGTCAGTGTTTAAGTAAATAAGTCTAAACTTACTAATCAACATCTCAAAAATGACAATACGTAGAATTTGCAGATAATTTTCATTAAAAACTAACAACATCTGGAGAAGTATAAAAGTTATAGACGACAGTAATTGCTTGCTCATCAATAACCGACTTGAAAAATGAATTTTACATTTTAACAGAAAGTTAAAATCGTTGATGCCAATCAATCGGATAATGTCGATTAACGATTCTTATATAAGTAAAGATTATCGTTGTGAAATTAAAATAACAGTCAGTCAGTCAGCTACAACGTAGGACCAGGAACATATATGCATCGGTCCAAGTTGCCATACCTCATTAACACAACAAGAAGGACACCGAATTCATAAAAGTAGTTAGTTCAGAGGTGGTAATATATAAAAGAAAGATTGTAATAAGGATGTAGTACAGGAAGAAAGAATTAGTTTGTAGAAAGAAAGATATGAAGCGATTTTAATCTGTTAGTTTAAGGGAAGACAGAGAGTGTATACACCGACGCCATTGTGATCGATTCTGAGCCATGTCGCTCAGAGTCTCCAACCATTGGTTATGATAGTCACGCGGACCCCAACCAAGTAGTCTGCATCTACAAACATGACTCACACCAGAAGTTAGTGACTTCAAGCACTGATGCCACGTTTTGGTTTGGCTGCCCATAACTTTCTTCCAACCATCTCCAACACCGGTTAGCATTGCACTTCGTGATAATCGGTGTTCAGGCATATGTAACACATGTCCCAACAATCTCAGTCGATGAAGATTCACAACCTCATCAACTGATTCGCCATCATTCCCTAATACTCTGCGTCTAACCTCACCATTACTTGGCCGGTGATCCTTGCAGACGCCAGCAATATTTCTGAGGCATCTGTGGTCAAATACTAGTAGCAAAATTAAAATAACACATATAAGTGAACAATAGGATTTTCAATTAGGCAGTTATCAGTCTTTAATATATATACGAATATTTATATGAGAATACTAAACCAGTCAAAATAGTTTATGAGTCCATGATCTATGAATAATAACAGGTAAACAGTACAAACTGATCGTAAGAAGACAGGTCTACTAGTAGTACTGATAAGAATAGTAAAATCGCAAAAGTTCTAGTTAATAGTTCAAAATAGGAAATAGGTCAAACTTGGATAATTAAACTTTAAAATAGTAATAATCATAAAAAGATTATTAAAATTACATAATTAGTGTGTAAATAATTACATATTGAAGAATATAAACGGAAAGAGGTGAAAAGTAACAAACACATACGAGATGTGATAAAATTGTTTATCAAGTTATATCTGGCCAAGATAGGGATGTCACGAATTTCTTCTAGTCACATAAACTAGGATTATAGGTTCGAATCCTAACAGGTTCTGCTAATATTTAGGAGATGGGATTAAATCCCATTGCGAAATAACAAATGTATGCGATAGGTCACTCAAAATGATTTTATTTTATCTACCATTCATTATCAACTGTGTGTGCCAAGATAGGATTAAGTATTGTCTTTGTTTGAGCCTTTCCAAACCAAGCTAGTAGACATTCACTCATTCCGTTATATGTGTTGTTCTTAAATAAGTCATTAAATTAAAAGTCAACTATTAAATTCTTGCTCCTTAGTATAAGATTATTGTAACAGTGTGGTCAGTCAGTCAGCTACAACGTAGGACCAGGCACATATGTGCATCGGTCCAGGTTGCCATACCTCATTAGCACAACAAGATGAACACCGGATTCATAGGAGTGGTTAGGTCAAAGGTTGCAATAAGGATATAGTATAGGAAGGAAGAATTAGTTCGTAGAAAGAAAGATATGAAGTGATTTTAATCTGTTAGTTTAAGGGAAGACAGGGAGTGTATACACCGACGCCATTGTGATCGATTCTGAGCCATGTCACCAAGAGTCTCCAACCATTGGTTACGATAGTCACGCGGACCCCAACCATGTAGTCTGCATCTACAAACATGGCTCAGACTAGAAGTTAGTGACTTCAAGCACTGATGCCACGTTTTGGTTTGGCCGCCCCTAACTTTCTTCCAACCAACCCCTACACCGGTTAGCATTGCACGTCGTGGTAATCGGTGTTCAGGCATACGTAATACGTGGCCCAACCATCTCAGTCGATGAAGATTCACAACCTCATCAACTGATTCACCATCATTCCCTAATACTCTGCGTCTAACCTCACTATTACTTACCCGGTGATCCCAGCAGATGCCAGCAATATTTCTAAGGCATCTGTAGTCAAATACTTGTAGCTTACGGGTGTCTTCTACTCTTAAAGGCCATGTTTCGCTGCCGTAAAGTAAGACAGAACGGACTGCCGCGCAGTATACTCGTCCTTTTATTGATAGACGGATATCTCGCCTCCGCCAAAGGTGACGTAAGTTGGCAAAAGTCAAACGAGCTTTTCGAATCCGTGCTGAGATTTCGTCAGACACCAACCCATTAGGGCTGATCAGACTTCCAAGATAAGTAAAGTTGTCGACGCGTTCGACTACTTCACTCCCTATCCTTAGTTCAGGTGTTGACGCAGACCAGTCCTGAAGCAACAACTTGCATTTAGAGGGAGAGAAGCGCATCCCAAACATTCTGGCATTGTTGCTTAGTGCTACCAGAAGACTCTGCATTTTGTCAGCGTCTTCACCAAACAGGACTATATCATCTGCTCACGGTCGTTCCTTAGACTTTTTCTTAACCTAGATCTGATTTGTTTTCGCTCTTCATCATGCTCAGAACCTGATGGGACGAGTTTGCGAGAATCCATCAGTGTGACAGACCTTGAAGAAATCCACTGGTTCCTTGCAACTCTGTGGTTTAAGTCACTAATAGATGTCACTGCTGTTTCCATAGCTGATTGTATCTTGGTTAGAGTCACACTGGTTGGGTATATCAAACTATGAAGCAGTATCTACCCAATGCTCATCTTCAAATTACATTTTGGATCTTTAGCAGTTGGGATTTAATTCTAGAGATCGTTATATTTTAACATCTACTTTGAATCTACGAAGGGTCCATAGTACGTTGATTTTCAGCACCATCATAATCGTTACAGCTAGTTAATTATATTTTTTAAAAATAATCAGTTTTCAACTTATATCTAAGTTGAAACTATCATAGTTTCTGTGAGCTTTTATGTGTGGAATTTCTAAAGCAAAATATATCAATGGGAAAACAGTTAAAGAGTAGACTGCATAGAAACTTTAAAAAACAAATATTAAGTCATCTAAGTATTCTGATTGAAGTGTATGAACATTAAGCGTTTTCTTTGTACACTTCAATGCTTTAAATTGATAGCAAATAATCTGTATATGCGTTGTTCAAAACAAATAAGCGCTTACTGAATGACTTGAAGTCAACATAGTTTTATTTTGTAATGGAAGTACGTAGTTCCATGACCTAAATCAATCTGAAATCAACTATTGAAATGAAAACAACATTAAATCACCCTGAAAACAAGAGTGACACACTAAGTAATTTGAAATATGTATGAAATGAGTCGATAAGGTTTAACCGGAGAATTTATATATAGTAGAACTACCAAGAGAGAGATATTGAAATTCAATGTAATGTACTGTAAACAGATGAGAAAACGAACGATGAGAACGTAAACTTTGATTAACCATGGAGGCCAGTTATTAACTCAATCAGTTTACTATATTTCCTAATATAAAAACAATTTGGAAAAAGACTCGTGACAGCCAGATCAAAATATTATGTCAGTGCATTAGGCTATTGACTGTTTTGTTAGACCACGTTTAAAAGTGTAAGCTTCCTGCTTAAAGTGTATGGAGGATATTTGAAGATTTTGGACAAAAGGGTTCAAAATCCCAATTTTCCACATTAGTCTTCAGTTTAACATTATTACATAACTTCTAACCTTTGAATTCATTAATTCTATTCACCAAATTATCATAATTTTTGTCGTCTTGATATGAAGTGAAGCAGTTTGGGTCGTTGCCTCGTTTATGACTGATATGGCTTAACACTGATTATTATTCATCGACCAGATACAATATGACAATTTCGTTGGTTTATTTGCCTAATTTTACAAAATACTTGATTTTTCTAGTAGCATTAATAATTAGATTTGCAATGGATTGATTTTATTGATAACAGAAATATTACACTAACCTTCATTTTCAAGTTTTAGACCTTCTTCTTCACTAGCACCCATAATACCTAAAATGTGGATGATACAAAGAGTTTTTGGATAGTAAATACCCATCATGCGAATCAGTTAAACACAATTTACTCTGTAACACAAAAGATGATATATATATATTTGAGTACAGGAGTTTGTAGAAATTGTTGGATTTTATATTTTGCTTCATCAATTGACCTCGTCTAGATAACCATTGAAAACTAGAACAAACCGGACAGTCGTTTCGTTATGGTCCGCATCCATGACCGCATTGGGAATCAAACCCAGGATCTCCAGATTTCGTGGTGTGTCCAAAATTTAGATCATTAAGTCGAATTCCACTGGTTCTGGTATCTAGCTTCAATCGATTCGCGATATTGCACAGTCATCCTATATTACTTTTAGTTGATAACTAACAGCTATTCAATGTCCCCCGGTTTTTAATGATTGTCAGAATAATGTGGATTCGTAAAGTACGCAATAAAATATATTTCTTTCAATGCAACTCTTGAATGATTAATATTAAAAGTAGAAAAGATTTATAGTTTAGAAGGATGATAAACAGTCGTTGAACAACAATGTTTGATTTGGATGACTGAATTCTGAAACATTAATTATCTTTTTGCATAACACTTTTAACATACAACAAAGTGCAAAGGGAAGTAAGCTTCCAGGATTTTCTTACACAAGCGAATAACTGTTGATTAGAAATTCGGAGGCAACTATCAAGAAGATCTGCTTGATTAGCAATTTACGCCAATTATAATTCGTTAACAATGTTTATCCGCATTCTTGACGATCCTAATAAGGTTGAAATTAGAGTCATACAGTGTTATAGCTGATTACTTTACGACTGAGTCGTGCAATCACGACTGAATTCCAAGAGAACTGAGACATTCACACTGTTTGATCGTTGTAGCGTTTATTTAACCCTTAACAATGATTGAATCATGTCAAATCTCTCAAGCAGTATCAATTCTCTTAGAATTGTAACTATACCATGCTAACGAGAAACAGTTGATGCGAAGTGTAGATCAAGCAAGGTTTCATGAACATCACCTTCAATCATATTAATAAATGAGAACAAATGTGACTATGGAAATAAATAGAGTACAAAGGAGATCAGAGGGTTTTTAGACATTTTTTATTCAGATCAGCCAGTGATACTAGAACTAATTCAGCTAGGGAGAAAATATTTTAAAAAATGCAAACTCGATGATTATATCAGGAATATAAATAATCAAAAAGTGTGTATAATCAGTGATGATACCATTAGTAATTACAACAAATCATATCCTATGTCAAAAGAACACATTTCTAGACATTTACAGAGAAATTTAAACAGGCCATTTGTTTCTGAAGTGTATTACCAATGTTGACAAAGAAAATGTTACACATAAATCATACGATTTATAGTACATAATATTACCAATGTCTGTTATCAGAACTAGAGATTTTCTTTACCGCCTTATGATGATCCAAAGTGCTTCTATTGTAATTTTAACAATTATTACATTTTTATTTGGACTCCCAAATGATCAACTTAGTAGGTTGTAATATCTTTTACTTTATATCAATTTATAGTATTTCTCAATGTATCATGATATATGACTGGTGTACGTACGTACGAAGTTCTACGTTGTTACTGACTGACTGACTGGGTCTATCGAAACTCAAAAGGCAAATAAATCTACGACTTCTTAAATTTGTTCAGCATTTAATATTTAATTCTTATTATCTTTAAGGTTAGATAATGGAATAGGTGAACCTATGAATCAGTGGTTAAAAGTCAAATACCTTGTCAAATAGTATATATTATTCATTCTTAATGAGAAACAATGAATCATAGTCAAATATATCAACCTCTATTTGGTAGTTTGAAACCATTTCCACATTTCTACTTTTGTGATCACTTATAAACATACTTTGCCTTCAAAACTGAGTACTTTGTAGGAGCCTCTTTTTGTATACATTAAATAATCTGTTGAAATTAGGACAGTTATTAAGTTGCAAAAACTGTTTTAACTAATCTGTATTATCGTTTTCATTCATTTACACTTAACCAAATAAATAAACGCCTGAAGAGTATACTCCAATGTTTGTTTTTCATGTGGTTTAAATGCAAACACTTTTTCTGCCAATTATCAATGTGATCTGCTGATGGTTTCCTTTCTAAAATGAGTTCTCTGTATCTAACTTTTGAACATCACAATATCAATAGTAGTTAATTCCACCATGTGTTTACACTAAGAAGATATAAAAAGTTAGTTGGCATCACGTGGAATTGGAGTTATATCATGTTCACATTAGTGTTTGAAATATTTATGAAGAAAATTAAATCAAAATAAGGAAAAAAAAGAGATCAAATCTGGGGATCCATATAACGACAAAAGAAAATAAGTAGCAATAAGTACGCTTACTTTTAGATCGTCCAGAAGCAGCACTTCGATCAGAACCATGATGAGTTTTATTAAATTCGTTATACTCCATTGTTTGAGAAGTTTCACCGGACAATGTGGATACACAATCCGTTGCATCTGTATCTTCATTAAATCGAATTTGTGAATTAGATAATGAAACTCTACGTGTTGGTATAAGATTAACATTTTGATTGAATTTAGCACTGTTGACTGTTCGATTCGGTAAATTAGATTGACTACTTCGTTTATATGATTGTTTAATTTTCGGTGGAGTTCCTAATGAACTGACTAATTCTGACTCACCGGTAGGCAGAAAATTCTGTTTTGCTGCTAGTTGTAAAATATATAAATATTTGTATATATAAATATGTAAGAAGAAATCACAATAAATGAAAGTGAGAATACTGAAGGTGTGAAAAATCAATAAATCGATTCAAGAATTGAATTATGATAGTTTGGAGATCAGCAGACAACTTGAATTTGGCACTGGGAATCAGCCATAAATAACTTAAGATATGGCATGAGTGTGAATGCTACAATTACCATTATAATAGCGAAAAAATCTAACAAAATGAGAAGCAAATCAGGCCAACTACCTTCAACTGTGAGGGAAAATCATATACGAAGGACACGGTTCTTAGAGAAGAAATGAGACTATAGAATAACGAGTTAAAAATGACAATTGATTGATGATTTATCAGGTGATAGAATTTTTGAATCAATTCGCCTAATGGGGTCTACTAATGATGAGCCATGTATGGGTCCCAAAATGAAACGTCTGTAGATACAAACAAGTACTGGTGTAATGACTTTTTGTTCAATTTTTCGGAAAGAATGGGTAATAAGAAAGAAGTATTGGACTAGGTTATTAATATAATTTCGAATATTTAATGAATATAGAGAATATGAGCATGCTTTTCATTGACAACGAGATCTTTAGGGAATCATTAACACAAATAAACTAGGTCAAAAGAGAATGTGTGTTCATCTTCTGTATTTCTGTGATCATACGATAACATTACTACGGCATGATGTTGATAATACACCGTCCTCAGTTATCCGAAAATGAACTCTTCAAGATTACTGACCGATTGATTGACAATCGACATCAATTATTGGATTGTTGCGTCAGGATAGATAAGTTGCAATCACGATAGCAACTACTTCGGAAGCATAATTTAGTTTTATGTACACGTGGATAGAAATCGATCAACAAATCTAATTAGCTTTCATATGCAATCAGGTACTGTACTGCAACTTATTACTAATATAGATGATTTTGTTTTGAATCTGGCATTGACTAATGAGTTATTATCGTTGATCCTTCAATTGTGCATAACTCGATTTCAATCGGAGCGTAGTACAACAATTTTAAATTAATAAAATAAAACATACATATCATATTACCGTCTTGAATAAACAAAATGTATAGACGGTAATGTGATACATTAGTTTTCACTACAAAGTAAATATTACACTGAAATTAGTGTATCTTAATGTTAGGTCTTTGAAAGGAGTCGGCAAGAAGCCTTGAACTTAGGATGCGTTGTTGTTAGCCCATGTAAGTAAGGTGTACCTGTAACCTTAAGAGAACCAGTTTCACTTATGAGGTTCACATGTCACCACTGGTACACTCGTTTGCACGTCAGATGTTGACATTTTGTAAAAATTCATAGTCATCTTCATTAAGATTTGATGTTGGCTAAATCTGAACGTTTTAGCTTTTACGTTATCTAATGGCTCCTTGTTGAAAAATTCCAGATGAGGGATAAAATAACAGTTCAACACTTCCTGGTTTAAATGATTCTCTGGCTAATATCAATTCTTAAGAATAACAGAAATAATAATTATTGTAGTAATATATATTCTTGTTACATCGTTTTCTCTTTTAATACAGGATATTTTGAACATTTCATAGAAATATCAGGTCATTTTATCGATATTGTATTAAGTGTCCGAAGTGTATGTCCAGTTATGATACAGTACATAAACACAATAGGCTAATGAAGACCTTTTCATTTGAAGTAGTCCCAACAAGGACTAGTTTTACTGAGACAACCATTGAGATCCAAACCAATATTGAACAGTTGTTTCATTCTACTTTGAGACTTCTCAGTAGTACGTAAAAACGACTTCATCAGCAATCAAGCCTACAAACTTTAGATCTCATGGCGAATCCATTCATCCAGTGAATTACATTATTAACTCGAATCAATTATTGATATTTTTACGATCATTAACCATCGTTGTCAGTGATATCTGTTTCATACTCAATATTGATTGAGTTTTAGCGGTAATAGTATTTTATAAAAAACTGAGAATTACATCTCCCAATTCCTCACCGATGAGCATATTATTATTATTATTATGAATAAATTACGTGTATATATGAATGAATAAATAAACAGATTCTGATTGCATAATTTATTTTGTCTCTCATTACAATATCAACACTTTATTCTTACATGATTTGAATGGGTTATTTTAAAATACATCGCTTATAAGTCTATATAAACAATATGTATTTATCATTTGACAAATTTCAGTGAATATCATCTTAATCCTCCTTTTAAAAAGTAAATATGAAGTGACGTAATCTTACAGTTGATGTACATTAATAACAGTATGGTATTTTTATTTCAGTAAACAAAATGGTTATGTAAAGATTCTACGTAACTTAAAAATAACTTTGATTACAAAACTGGGTATTAAGCAGAAAATTATCAACGTTTTAGGTATACACAAGATTTCAATTAGATGGTTGTAATCTGTAGAATCAATCAAGTCTATAGAGGAGGCAGTTATGAGCAATTGATGAGTAATACTACCTAGAAACAATGAATGAATTATAATGTAGTTGATTGAACTAAAGAACTTTGAATAATATCTCTGACAAAAGTTTTGACATTGTAAGTGTATATTACTTAGAAAGTGTTGAAATAAAAAGTAGCAAATGTCTGGTGCTTTCAGGTGTTAAACAGCTTTCCAGGTAAGATAAGTGATCTTTTTGGAATAATGATATATAATGGTTAAAATCGCCTGTCGATTCACAGTATAAGTCATAGGAACGAAATCGATTATGATGAAGGAGATTTTAAAAATAATAAAGCTTGAAATTATTAATTATATAAGTAATGAATCCATCAACATTACTGTCACTAATTTTTAGCCATGGTACACAACGTCATCAAAACATGAACTATATTCCCCACACAACCGAAAGCCTCTCGGTGAACATATTCAGTGATTTCACAACTTAATGCTATTTATTCATTCTTGTGTTGTTGGCTGATGCCTGAATGCTTGACATTGATTTTCCAAATCTTTATAGTCCCCAGAAGTTTATCACACTTAAGCACCGAGTCAAGGACAAAAGAAAGATAGTATGAAAAGCTGTTTTTCTTCTAAGGTTACGTTACAGATGTTTACAGATCTCTATGTGACCTTAATAATCTAGCAGCTTCTAGGAACATGCTAAAATTAACAACACAATCGGTAGTTTTCAACTCTGGATACGCGACACAATTTGTCGCTTCCGTGGAACTCTCTTGAAAGCTTATTTTGAATGCCGCTAGCACGAAGTATTTTCAGCCTTCTCCTTATCTTTTATATGCTATTCTGAAAGATAGTTCATGGGAATAAGATAGTACTGGTTTACACATGGTAGTATTATTCTGCGGAAATGAGGAGACATCACAGAAACAAGCTAAACGTTAGATGGTTTAAGGTAATCAACGACCCTATAGAAAGTCAATCATAACCCAATTAGCTAAGTTGTAGTACCTCCATCTATAACACTGGGTGATACAAATTAGAATGCGACAGCCTATCAGCACTTCTTTCAGATCACTTTGTTGAAGAGTGCCAACTAATGAAAAGAGTAATTCAATCAGAAGTTCTTTACGATTACTTCGTAACAACAAAATACTGTACGTGATGATGAATCACTCAAACAAGCAGCCACATTGCCACGTGATCAGTAGAATTTTCTCAACACTCACGAACAGATATTCAAAACATGTGATACTAAATCTACGCGATTATTAGTAACCGAAAATTTGCTGACAAATGCATTAAATTATTTAATAGCCCTTTGATCATTATTATTATTATTATTATCCTGTATTCGACTCTCTCATCCAGGGTCATGGATGTGTACTTTTAAGGAGTAACATATAAGAACGAAACGATCATCCAATACTTCTAGGTTTAAAATGATAATCCAACTTAGATCAGCTGATAATTTCAATGAAATTCAGGAATCTTCACAACTCCATTACCTAAAATTGTTGTTATTACTAACTATATGAAACATATTTTACATCAATGGGAAGATTCGAGCAAGCAATACCAAGTGCATTTAAACTTCACCTCATTGCACAAGCAAGTGGCTATCAGGACTTAGTAGTTAAGTGGATAACGCGATGGTGTTTAGAGCAAACGATAATAAGTTCGAGCCCCAGGGTGAACATCAACTCTGAGATGCAAGTTCATCCAACTAACGAATCGTAAATAGGACGAAACGCGCATAAAACTGGATTCCACTGCTAGTCACCATCCGTCTTTGCATATAATGCCTGTGAATGAAGGCTATATCGAGGCAATACGCACAGTATGCACATATGCCAATGATTCATAGAATCATTGTGTTACAAGTAACTTTTTTTTATTTGAATTTTTATTAACATCATTTGACTTTTGTTTAAAATTATACTTATATATGCCGAATAAGTAGTATCACATGTATAATTGATGACAAAAATAAATAGATATCAACTCTTCTATGTAAAAAAAACAAAAAAAAGAAAACCACTATCACAATATTAATTCCGTTGACGTATTAAAACAATTTCAGTATAGGGGTTGTAGAGATTAAGTTTTTGATTGAGATCATGAACCGATTGATGTTAGATCACCGTTGGAAACCTGGAAGCACTGGACGGCAGTTTCGTCCTATTGTGGGACTCCTCAGCAGTGAGAAGCCGTGACCAGTGGAGCTAATCCGTGTCGGGTAGAGACAGGTATCTACCTCAGTACAATGGAAGATGGTTGCGCAATTTCATGGATTGTTTGGGGTTAGACACTAACGCCGTTGGATGCCGGCTCAGTGGTCCAGTAGGTTAAGCGTTCGGGCGCAAGACTGAAGGCTCTGGGTTCGAATCCCGCGAGCGGGATTAAGGATGCGCACTACTGAGGAGTCCCATATTGGGATGAATTGGCCGTCCAGTGCTTCCAGGTTTCCAACGGTTGCCTAACATCAATCGGTTCATGATCTCAACCTAAAACAATTTAATTAATAAGGAAACTATACAATTACTTAGTGATAA